GTTGCAAAACTTTTTGACCCGGCAGGATAGCTGTCGCCAGTTATGATTCAAGCAAAAATTCTGTTGCAAGAACTCTGGCTATACGGCACTGATTGGGATGAATGTGCTAAACCCACAGCTTTGTCAAAATGGCACACCTTTGCTGAAAATCTGCCAGCCATTTGCGCAATCGAAATACCACGCTGGGTAAATTTCGCTCCGGGGCAAGACACCCAAATACACGGGTTTTGCGATGCTTCGAAGAAAGCATATTGTGCAACAATTTACATCCGCACATATGCTAACAATGAAATAACATCCACCCTTCTGGTTGCAAAAGGAAAGGTAGCACCCTTAAAAACGGTAAACTTGCCACGCTTAGAGCTGTGTGGCGCTTTACTATTTGCAAAACTGGTTGCAATCAAAACCAACTCAGCTTACAAGCGCGCAATATATTTCTATGGTCAGGTTCTGAGATCGAATTGGCATGGCTCAAGAAGCCACCATGCACTTGAAAGACCTATGTATCAAACGCGCCTTTCCTATCCTAGATTATGTTCCAAGCGGAGATAATCCCGCAGATCTTAGCTGTCAATTCACTTTGGTGGCACGAACCGAAGTGGCTCTCCTGCCACACGGATCCTTGGCCAAATACAAAGACCCATAGTGCTTCTCTGCCAGAAAGGCGAAAGGTAGAAACATATCACGCGCTTGAAGATAAGCTCGATTATCCAGATCGGTTTTCCACATATTCATTCGCGTGATTGCGTATATGTTCCGTTTCATGGACAACCTCCGAAATAAGTCCTAGCGGCAACCATTATTCTCCAATGAAGACCGTGAATCTTGAGCTATGTTCAGATTTTCCAACTGAAGCATTTTGAGCAGCGTTTGTACGTTTCGTCGGCCGACCAATCGACCTTTCATTGACCAATCGATGGGAGAATATTAAAGTCCTTCACCACGAATTCAATCGACGCTGGAAGGAGGAATATTTCAAAGATCTTCAGAAGAGATACAAGTGGAAGAATCCACAGCGAGATCTCCCACCAGGCGACTTGGTAGTACTCAAAGAAGACCCACTACCACCCACCGAGAAGCGACTCGGTCGAATCGAAGATGATCGCTGTGGACCGGATAGCTACATTCGAGTTTTGGATGTACGTACCCGAAACGGAGTTATGCTCCTACTTGTGAAGTTGTGCTGTTTTCCTAATGAGCACCCTTAGCTCACAGGATAGCATAACAACAAATAGAATACAAAAAACTACATATATCCATCCAGTTTCACCTAATACTGTCCCCATTTTTTTTTTGATCTTTTCGTTCCAGAAAATGGCGACAAAAACGGACGTAACCTTGGCTCCTACGGTAGAAACTGCCTCCAATGTAGATTCTGCCATAAGTTACCCCCTCTGCTCATGTGTGGAGCATTCTGGGCAATCCACAACGACTGTTAGTAGCCAGGGCGCAAGGCACGTTGATGCGCCTAGGTGCATCCACACAGTGCAAGACGCCGTCGCCAGCTACAAGCGCAACATGTCAGGTAGTGGCAAAAAAGAAATCAGCAGCAACGTCGCACGCAAATCCAGCGAGCCCTTACCCTGTGTCGCCGCCGCCCATTAAGCGCGTGAAACAACGTGCGCCAAGAAAAGGCGCAGCCACCCTAGACATCGTGAAGCAGCAGCGATTCCGGTACCGTCACCAATGGGGCAACCGCGAAAAAAGAAGATGCGACCCTAACACGCACTGCTTCGGATTACAAACGCCTTTAATGCAAATAAAACGTAAAAGTTTCTTTTATTTTGCCCTTTATTAAAATCAAATATAAAATCTAACAAACTTGTTTAAGCGGGTGAGGGAGAATGTAGAATATATTTTGGTGAGCACTAGACGCGTATCAAAAATTGGGCGTAATCCAATGGTCTTATCCCGATGTTCAAAAAAAAAAAATACCACAATTACTTACCCACAAGTAATTCAAAAAAGAAAAGAGATGTTTAAAAAATGGACAATATACGCCAACAATAATAAAATTAGAAATAACAAATGGTAGCTGCCCACAGCGGAAATTGTTAGATTGTCAAACTAAGGCTGCAACTACCCAACTCACTCCCCAGCCGACGCCGCTGAGAGCGGAGAAATGTTGCCAGCTGCCTGTGTGTTTGCACACTTTTGAACAAATTCATAATTTTCGTTAACGAATTTCATAATTTATTTGCTTGAACATAAACACAAGGCAAATATACATGATCTATATGGTAACAAATAATTAGTTACGCATTTATTTTTCATTTCTTTTGAACAAAACTACGCATTATCTTCGATTATCTAATGTTACTTTAAGAAAGGCTATACTGGCAACCTTGTATAGCAACGAAAAATGAGCCGAGCCGGTTTTACGGAAAAATCAAAACTTCGTTGGTTTCTGCGACACAAACGTCAGCAGCGCTATGGGAAATCGGTGACAACTTTGTGTTTACATGGCGCTCTCATAAGATAGGTTACTATGGACGGCTGGTACGCTCGTTGGGTAGTTGCAGCCTAATCCACGTCATCAACCTCCCACAACCATGATACGAATGGAATCCTTCGCAGTCCATTCTTTTAATCAAATCGAAGACAAGATCCTGGTATAACTCTGCATTAACCCAACGACGGAACGTCTCAAAGAACTTTTGCGAAATACAAGTATGACCAGATATACTAGGTCTATTAATACTGAATACACTAGGCTCAGGCAGCAGGGCGTTCTGATGCAACTGATTGAAAGAAAATATTCTCTATTATTGAGAATAATAACCCCCAATATAATGAATGAATAAATGAGAAGCTATTTACGACCACTTCCACCCAAACTCAATAACAAATTAAAACGCAATCCTTAAAATTGTGAATCTCAATGATAAAGTAAGAGAAATAGTTCGAGCATACTGGCAAAACACGGAATAGTTGACACTAATTTACTTGACACTGACGAGTAAATCAGGTTTTCTAGAAAATTTAAACTTTTGAAGAAACGTATAAAATCATAAAATAAATTATACAGTATAGATTTCCAACTATTAAGGCGAAGTTCGTACTAACAACTTTTTGCGTACATTTGTATAAATGATACGTATGTTGTCTAATCCAATAAAAGAAAGATTAGGATCGAAGACCAGGCGTTTTCCAGCACGAAGGCCATTATTTCGCAAATCTGGGTAACCCGTGATAACTTGCCTTTTGTGCATGTGCATGTGTTAGCTTCTTTGCAAACTTCGACAGCACGAATAGAAGCTGCCTTTACGACGCTCCGTCTGAATTTGGTAGCCCCGTAAAAATTACACGGTTACGTAAACTGACTAAAAGCTTCATTATTATTATTGAGCTTTTTGATAACAAATGAGTTTCAGACAGGGTGATTCCTAATAGTGTTACTTCTTTAATTTGTTGTTGGAGAAATTAATAACAGCTGTAGGGCAGAGTTGAGAAGGTACAAGCTTCTAAAAGAGCATATAGCTACTGGAGTGGTGACATTATTGACTACAATAACGCGCCTTGAGCTATGATTGCTCCATACTTGATAAAGAAGTGAAGTATATGAATGTGGGCAACACGAAATATCTTCTGTCATCAAACAAACATTCATCGCATTCGCGACTCGACTCCTGCGCCACTGTTGACAGATGGATAAGCAAATTGAACGTCTTCCCTTTACAATTTAAGTGGAAAATCGCCTTTACGCCTCTTCCTTAATGGGTCGCGTCTTCAAGTTCGACCAGTCTCCTAGTGTGCCCCTTACGTGCTAAGCGATCGGATTTGACTTAACATTTACTCCTTATCATTGTATTTATACTCTCTACCTTCAACCTTCTCGTTGTTGTCCTCTAGCTCTTTAGTCCTTATTTCGAAACAACCTTGGAGTATGCAGAATATTTTATATCTCAGCTATTTGAAGAGATTCCAAATTTCATCATACTCTTTTATTGCGGTAAAAGTTATTTTTTCTATCACTTTTGCATAGTTTAAGAAATTGCAATAATTCACTATTTTTAGCTACATAGATTAATTTTTATTAAGCGAATTTTAGAAGGCCAAGGTTGCGCGAGGCTTCGTTACTTAATGGGCATATGAGTAAGTGCTAAGTAGGATACTGGCTTATAAATAAGTTTTTCCATTATGACATACGTTTGTCAATAAATTGTTGACGGGCTGTGACCAAAGCGCATATGCCATTATTGAAGGATGATATCTAGTTGAAGATAATCATTACCACCTTTTAAAAGCATTAATTGGGTCTCTCGTAATTACTTTTTTTTGAAATAAACTTCAATAAATAGATTTAAGAATGTTTTATTTAACCTTTATATATCCCATTAGACATACTAGACACAACTTTTCAGAGATTTCGCTGAAAGTTGTCTCCGTGTGGGCAAGAAAAGTGCAGCCTACATAAGTATATACAATAATATAATTTAACCTTATTTAGTTTTGTCTCTGGCGTTCGCTGAAAGCTAAAGCATTAAACGTATGGTAAATATCTGCCCTTCAGGGTAGGTGATTATGGATTTTCTGACGAACTCCACAGAGAAATTAGACAGTTTCCTAGCTGCGCCACAATAGATCCTGCTCTTTTTTTACATTATATCGTGTTTATAACCATTTATTCCATTTGTTGGAACAACATCAATACGCATACCATAAGTTGGATGGAGTCCTCGGCCGAAAATCTCTTCAGAGGCCAATTATAAATTTTATATTAGATACATATATGGCATAACGACTCGAAACAGATACATAAGAAAGGAGAATTTTAAGATGTTTTTCAAAAAGTTCAAAGGTTTAAACTGTTTTACTGCAACAAAAATTCAAGCTCTATCTCTCACCAATTATTGAAACTACAAGATCATTTTTGGTTCATGGAAAGTTGGTTATAACTAAACACACTCTTGATATAAATATCTTAATATGATGAAAAGTCTTTTAATTTGTATTGAGTCAAACTGATAGCCATGCGACTGAAAAATTAGAAAGCATACCTGTTTTCACAATATTATTTGCAGCTACATCTATTGTTTCAACTGAGTTATTGAAAATCCAGTTAAATTCCACCAAAGGAGGGTTTGCATCAACGGTACACTTTATATTCACATTTTCCTGTTTCGCCACCCCATATATTTTTCGTTGATTCGATGAACAAATAGGTGAATCTGTAAATAAATGAGCATATAATTTTCTTTTATTTTACTTTCAAATCACACACTCTTATTATGCTACAAAGCAGTTGCTTAATGAATTTTGTATCTTATTGGTATCGAGTCACAATAAGCAGTATTGTTTACGTAGTGCCAAGAACTTAAAAAACTTCAGCTACAAAGCAGAAATTCATCGCTGATTTTTAAAAGTAACTTAATTCAAATTAAAAAGCTATTTAATAATTAATAGGGTGTCGACTAATATGAGAGTACTTAATATGAAAGAGCGGCCAGAGCAGAAAGTTTCCTGAAATCGTAAATAAAACGAAAAAAAATATTTTCTTCACCAATATTTATTTTGACGCTTTCAAAATACGTGTATGCTCCTTGTGAACCGAAACACAACTTTTTCCAATCGAGACATGCCTTGTCAGTTCAAAAAAAAAAAAAAAATACAAAAATTCTATAAGGTAGTTTCAATTCGAAATTTTTGACACTAAACGCGTTTGTTCAGAAAGGCTTGAGCTTGCCACTAATAAAATTTTCAACTTGGAGATATTTTAATTATTTTCTGGGTTGCCTTCTAATCAGATGCTAAAATATTGAATACACGTTTTGTTTTAAGCCGTTTTTCTTAGGTGTCAGAAGTATTAAACCGCATTGCTAGACTGATAAATAAAATGAAAATTGTTGATAGTTTTTACATTTTTTTGAAGGCTTAAAGATTTTTTTAACTCCTTCCGAAACGTTCGTGATCTGGTTCCCTGGTCTTATTGACAACCAGAGGGGATCTTCTTCACAGAACCAACATAGGTATCATCGAGAGATCAGGGTTCCGTGATCGAACAAGCCGACTAATATCAATATATTTTGCGGTTAGATTGAATTCAAAAATGTATAAAGGTTTAACCGACTTTTAGCGTAATTATGAAAGTATAATAATTCATAAGAATTCAAATATGTATATTTATAAGTTTGTTAATTGTATTTTCGCAAAGAATTTCAAAATATATTTATAAATTGTATTTTACAAAGAATCGTTGTCCAAGTGCATTTCCGCTAATGAAAATGCAACGGTTAACAAACTATATATAAGAAAGTGGAAAATAAAGAAAAAAGCGCAATTGTTGCAATTGAAAAAAATTGGCGCATCATTTAAATTCGACTTACATGAGAAAGGATATTGGATATTTTAATATCCGTAACGGGTAAAATACAATAAGAACGGGTCCTTCAAAAGATTAAAGGACATACAAAATTTTTGTGACATTTGAAATTCATAAGATTCAAGAATCGACCCTTTAAAAGATTAAAAGACGTACAAAATTTTTGTTACATTTGAAATTCATAAGATTGAAAACGATTCTTTTAAAAAATTGAAATGCAAAACTCTTCATAACTACATAAGATTGTGGATCCTTTATAAATTAAAAAAAAAAACACAAAATATAAAAGAGAAAAAAAAAACAGCACAACGGAAGAAAGTGACAACCTTTTATCCTAATCAACTTTGAACTCAACATACGTGTAGTTACAACTTTTTCATCCCAATCAACTTTAAATCCAACAGTAGAAACCCAGACCCATGCAGACAGCAATATATAATATAGCATCAGAAAGTAAGAATTTGATTAACTATATTGTACTATTAATATTATATTATTTATTTTATTTTATATCCATCAATTTTATTTTTAAATGTATGTAACTAAAAAGATAAGCTAATTAAAAGGAAACTACTGTACGTCAGGCTGAACGACATACTAAAGTCAAAACTCAAAGGGAGTACAAGACAGGCGATAGACGGTCCTGTGAAGAACTCTTTGACGAATTACGAAGCGTGACCTTTAGAACAAGCACCCTAGATTTCTACAATGATATGAAAACCGTGTTATATAGATTAAATAACAAACTAGTGGTTATTTTAGGGGAAATCGAGGCAACTAGAGAGAGAGCGCGATAAACAAAAAGCGCACTGCCCTTAACATCTTTAAAAGCAAGATTCCTGAACCAATGAAGTTTATCATATTCTGCAGAAACCCTGGAAATTCGGAACAAGCTATGGACATACTATTCCAGACCGGATACGCACATGTAGGGAATAATAACGGTAACGGTCCGGAGTTTAAAACGAAAAAGCCGTAGTACCTATGTTCGAAGTATTTAGCGACACTAAAAAGGACAAAACACTGGAATACTATATAATAAGATTTCATAAATTTTTTGACGGTCTGATAGGTAATGATATATTGAGACTATTAAATGCCTGTATCGATTATGGAAAAAATCGAAATAACCATCGGTAACAAGACACTCCCTATACACTTCGAAGACGAAACTTAAATAAGAAAAGGATAATAGCACCAGATAACTCTGACCTAGTTTATTATAAGGAAGAAAAGGACGGAAAGATTGTAAGAGAAGGAATTTTGAATATGGAAAATGGAGAAGTAGAAATGAACTTGCCATCCGAAACCAACCATGTGACTACGCAAAAGGTAGATTATGAAACCTTTAGCATAATTGAAAACCAAGAATTTAAACCATTGAATGATCAAATTAGAATAGAACACTTAAACCCTGAGGAAAAATCACAACTATTACAATTAATAAATAGATATCATAGTATTTTTTATCAGAAGGGCGATAGACGTTCGTTTACTTCCGCAATAAAACATAGAATTAAAACTACAAACAATATACCCATATTTTCCAAGTCATATAGATACCCGTACGTACACAAAAAGGAAGTTATAGATCAAATCCAAGAGATGTTGAAAAATAAAATAATCAGGAATAACAATTCCCCAATTTCGATCATGCCGAAGAAAGCCGATGCCAGCGGAAAACCGAAATGGAGACTTGTGATCGACTATCGTAAACTTAACGAAGTAACGATCGATGACAAGTTCTCCATCCCGAACATAGATGAGATTCTCGTAAAACTGGGAAGAAGGCGGTATTTCACTACACTCGATCTAGCGAAGGGGTTCCACCAAATTGACAAAACCGCATTTAGTGTCGAAGAAGGACACTACGAATTTCTGCGAATGCCTTTCGGGCTAAAAACAGCCCCTGCACCGTTTCAGAGATCTATCATAGATCAGAGACTATATCAAAAAAATCTGCCTAGTATAACTGGACGACATAATTGTTAACTTTCCCATACCAAAAACGGCAAAACAGATCAAGCAATTCTAAGGACTCACAGGCTAAATACTTAAAGAAAGATTCAAAGATAAACATAAATTACCCAGAGTATGAAAAAAGTTTCCACACCCTCAAGACCCTACTAACACATGATCCAATATTAGCATACCCAGACTTTTCTAAAACATTCACATTGACAACGGACGCGAGTAATTTCCCTTTGGAGCAGTGCTTTCTCAAGATAGTCACCCAATATGCCATGCAAGCCGCACCCTTAATACACACGAAATAAATTATACTACAATAGAGAAAGAATTGTTGGCCAACATCTGCGCTTCAAAATATTTTAGGCCCTACCTCTTTGGTCGCAAATTTACCATAGAAACGGATCACAAGCCATTAACATGCCGCTTTTCTATATTGGAACCCAATTCAAAACTTGTTAAAGATTGTGAAGATTAAGATTGTCTGAATACGATTACGAAATTAGGTACAAGAAATAAACAACAAATAGTAATGCCGACCCTTTACCAAGGATTGAAACTGAACCCAGCATTGATACACTAGAATGCGACAGTGTAACGATAAAAAGTACTACTTCACCAATTAATATGTTTAAAAACCAAGTAGTTATATTGAAAACAATCTCCGGATCATTTAAAATAAAAAATAAATCTGTTTTTAAAAATAAAAGAAGAATAATTTATATGAAGGAGATGGATACAGAAACAGCAATTACGGTACTAAAGAATCATTTTAACCCAACACAGTTGAACACTATTTATATTGAAGAGGAATTTTATACAATGTTTAAAAATACTTATGACGAACCATTTTCAAATAGCACAAACTTTAAAGTACTTAGGTCTACACTCATGACGAAAGACATAGAGGATGAAAATCAGTTAACGGAAATGATTAAAAATGAACACCTTAACAAAAATCATAGGGGAATTCAAGCGGTATATTAGCGGTAAGGAATTAATAAGGCGAATTTACAATCCTAAATTGAAGCAAAGGATAACTCAATTTAAAAATAATTGCGAAATTTGTAATATAGAAAAATACGACAGGAAACCTCCAAAGATCTCTTACAAAATTACGGAAAACCCACATAAACCTCTCGAAATATTACACATATTTTATACCCTAAATAAGAAAATCTTTATGACAAATCGACAAATTCTCAAAAATTCGCTTTAGAATTCCAGATAAACAGTAGAAAATGGACAGAATTCAAAACGAAACTATTGCTGAATGGATAAAATTATCGTAGACAATGAGTTAGGCTTTAATAGCCATACTGATGCGAAAATTTTTAAAAAAGGAGAACATAGATATTCATTATACCTCAAATAGTAACCATACGTCCAATGCCGATATTGAAAGATTTCACAACACAATCAATGAACACATACGCTTACTAAGAAAACAAGGACGAAAGTATGGAAGATAAATTGATGGGAATAATAGGTGTCTATAATAACATAATACATGGGACGACCGGCATCAGGCCAATTGATTTTGTAAATGGCAATTTACATGAAGATAGATGTATGGAAATTCGTGATCTTATTAACGCAAAAAAGGAAAAATATATTCAGAAGTTAAACGAGAACAGGAAAGATTTTGAATTAGAAGGAGGACTAAATTATGTGAAAGAGATAAGGGGTGGGAAAAACCACAGGAAATATAAGAAGGTTAATGCGGAAAAAATAGACGATAACCATATACAGACGATAGGAACTGGACATAAATATTACAAAACTCACGTTAGACCTATTAAGAAATACCAAGATAAGAATAATACCATAAACAGGACAACAAGTAAATTAATATTTTTATTTTTAAATGATTAAAAGGAT